TAAGTTCATATGTGGCTGTGATACTTGTTTTTTCCTTCGAGTTTGATGAGTCTCTGGTACGTGCTTACTCCGAAGATATTGAGAAGTCTCTAGACCTTCGTTACATCAGTGAAGATATTGAAGCGACTATAAAGAAAGAGATCAGTAAGCATAAAGACAAGAAAATGTACATCAGAGTACCACAAGTTGACATGATTCCCTATGGAAGTTCGTTAACAGAAAGTACTTCAAATGTGGTGGAAATCCTGACCAGTGGGAGTTTGTCAACACACAGAGGGCAAACGAGCAGGAGGAGACCTTCAGCAACTTGTATTTCACAATTAGATAATGAAATTGTGGTTGGCTTTGAGGAGGAAGCAGAGAACGTTAAAGAGCAACTTGTAGGACGGAACAAGCTACATGTTGTCTCGATTGTGGGAATGCCTGGACTCGGTAAGACAACGCTAGCCAGAAAAGTGTACAATGATCCTTACATTGAATATTACTTCTATATTCGGGGTTGGGCCTATGTGTCCCAAGAATATTCAAGGAGGAATTTGTTACTTGACATTTTAGATTCTGCTTTTCAGCTTGGAGATGAAATTTGTGAAATGTGTGATGAAAAATTAGGTGAAGAGCTATACAAACGCTTAAAGGGTAAGAGGTACCTGATCGTGTTGGACGACATATGGAATATTGGAGTTTGGCATGATTTGGAAATTTTTTTTCCAGACGACAATAATGGAAGTCGAATTATCTACACTAGTCGGATCACAAATATTACTTTGCATGCTAAATCTAATAGCTCTCATTGTTTGAGTTTGTTTACTGAAGACAAAAGTTGGGAACTCTTGCAACAGAAGATATATCAGAGAGTGTATTGCCCTCCAGAACTGGTGGAAATTGGTAAGCGGATTGCAGCCAATTGTGGGGGACTACCTCTTAAGATAGTTGTAATTGCCGGACTTCTCGCAAAGACAGAGCAAACGCTTGACTGTTGGACCAGAGTTGCTGACAAAGTAAATTCGTACACAGTTGGAGGTCCAAATAAGTGCATGGACGCACTAACACTAAGTTACAACCACTTGCCTCATCACTTGAAAGCGTGCTTTCTCTATTTTGGAGCATTCCCAGTTAACTATGATATCCCAGTGTGGAAGTTGTCATGGTTATGGATAGCTGAGGGATTTATTCCGCAAGTTGGGCAAAAGAGCTTGGAAGACGTGGCACACAATTACTTGATGGAGCTAATTGATAGAAGTCTAGTATTAGTCGCCAAAAAGAGGTCTGATGGTGAAGTTAGAGCATGCCGTCTCCATGATCTGTTGCGCGAATTATGCTTGGTAAAAGCTGATGAAGAAAATTTTCTGCTGCAGATTAATAATCAGAAACAAGTTGAATATTTTTTTGGTCTGGCAAAGAGACATCATCGCCTGTGCATCCATTCTCATGTCTTTCATTGTGTTCCTTTAGAGCTTCCTACCGCACACATCTGTTCTATCTTATGCTTTGGTCCTGAATCTGACACACTATCTCGGAAGCATGTATCACACATTTATCAGACCTTAAGTCATCTGAGGGTCCTACATTTTTCATCCATTCCTATCATCTGCTTTTTTGAGGAAATATTACAACTTGGTTGTTTGAAGTATTTAGCGCTTCAGCTTAGAGACGGGAATCTTCCGGCATCAATATCAAACCTCAGGAACCTACAAATACTTATTATATCTTCGAGGATCCATATTACTATACCGAAAAGTATTTGGACCATGGTAAGGTTGAGGCATCTGCTAATTACATCAGGAGAAAATGATTTTGAAAAGCCTTATTTTCATGATTATCGCTACTCATTGGATAACCTCCTAACCATGTCACAAGTATGTCTCTCTAGTTCTTGTCAAGATGTATTGGAAAGGACTCCTAATCTTAAAAAGTTGGGATTTTGTGGACCTATGTTGTCAGAGTTAGGATATGTGGCATTCCCTAATCTAGACTTTTTGAACCATCTTGAGACATTGAAGTTTCTAGACACAAACACCCATGTTCGCGGATCGAGGAATCTGCAATGGGACAAGTTTCCTTCAAAACTTAGAAGGCTAACGTTATCAAATACTGATATTAAGTGGGAAGAGATGAAAACTCTTGGGATGTTGCCCAACCTGGAGGTTCTGAAATTGAAATTTCATGCCTGCTTGGGAGAGCATTGGAAAACAAATGATGGGGGGTTTCCTCGACTAAGATTGCTGAAAATTTTCCACTCAAATATTGTAACATGGGAAACTTCTAGTGCTCACTTTCCAAGCCTTCAGAAATTGATGCTGCGAGGATGTTTTCAACTCAAGGAAATCCCTTTGGAATTAGGGGATATAATCACACTGGAGATTATTGAGCTCATTGATTGTAGCCTCTCTGCTACAAAATCTGCAAGACAACTTGAGGAAGAGCAACGGAATAACGGAAATGATTGGTTGCGGATCCTCACCAGCACTCCATATTGCGAGCTCACCACAAATTCTTGACACTAGAATGAGTATTTGTTTCCCACTCATGCTGAGGTCATCTAAGTTGGTTGTACAGGTATTGTCAAGTTCATGCCTTACTTTACCATTGCACAAACTTTATTCTCTTTGTTCTTCTAACGTGTCGCCTGTCAGTTAGATTTCCTGTTTACTAGGCAGAAGTTGTTTTACTTCCTTTTTGGAATTCGGACGGCTAACCAAGTTGGATCTGATGGCTAAGTGAACCAACACATTAGATATATGTATATCTACAATTGCCAAATAATGCACCATTGCAGTTATAATAGTGGAATACAAAAATCTTCATCACAACATAGTTGTTCTTGTCTTCAGTTTTTTTTAGTAATTTTCTCTTCTTTTGCTTTTATACATTGTGACACTTATTCTCTAGTGTCTTTCTTGTCCTCAACTTTATCATGGTGAAGGTCTGGGAAGAACACACGAGCGACAATATCACAGAGTTGGGAACAACTTCTATCCATGGAAGCATCCAATATAATCCAACTCTGCATTTAGTTCATCAATTTTCTTATTTATTTGATGCAAGGGTGATCCTAAAACATCATAATAACAAAGGAGATCAACTGCAAGCAAATACCTAAGAAGGAGGAAAAAAGAACACTATAAAGAAGTTTAGTAAGTTGCACTGATCCCATTTTATGCTCCAAATTTCTAAATTTAGGGTTAGATTTGAAATATTCGTTTTTTTTTTTTTTTGACGAACAGCAACCATGTCCACACTCTCGTTGATTTCAACTTGGACCAGTTGATGATCCTGGTGCGATTATTAGGACCAATCAAAAAATCATTCGTAGCTATAATGAAATTGTTTTAGCCTTGTTTTTAGTTGTCTTTTGTTCTTTGGCACAGTTGTTGACACTCAGATATGCGAAATGGGAAAAATATTGTTTTGAAACAATATTACTCTGTATAGGCAAAGCTTTGAGTATGTTATGCCACTGGGAAAAACATGCAATGTTTGTTGTTTGGCCTGGAATATTTGTTGGACTTGATGAGGGTGATTCATTTTAAAGTCAAACTAATTTATCTGTCACAAGTTATCTGCGTAGTTTGTTTCTGCCTTTACGCTTCAGCAGTCAAACGAAAAATAGAACACCATATTTGTTGGTGTAGTGACTCATAAAATGTAGTTATTTTTTAAAAGAAGAATGATGTTCGTCTGTTGTTTAATGATTGACTGTGCTACAAAATATTGTATCAAGGTAGGAGTTGGAAAATTCAACTATCCATAAGACAAAACTTGTTATTCCATCTCCCTCCACACCCGTGGACCCCAAAAAACAGAGGAAAAATATCCAAAGAAAAGATAATTTTTTTGTGTCTATACACTTTCGAAGTAAATAATCGCTGCAAGAGTCAGTCACAGGATTTCAAAAAATAATGCACAATCCATCTATTTGTTGGAATGAATGATGTAAATGTGAGAAACTGTCCTCTATTCTTAAAGAAAACTCATCCCTTATTTCCATGGTATAGAAATATAGTGCTCTTTCAATGTATACCTAGTTACCCCTTTAGGTGAATATGGTACTCTTCATAGAGGAGGGCGATAAAAGTAAGGCATTCAGAAAAGCATAAGCGACCATAGGTACAGGACATTGTAAGTTTATTGCTAAGCCCTAAGGTTTGCGTCACAATGGAATAATTAAGACACTAGTTAATATACAACTTGTAATCTTTAGAAGGTATCATCCTTCTCTTTCGCTGATAGAGATGGTTAATTGGCACAACCACCTCCTACTACAGAATTTTGTGTCTTCAGTGCCAGCATAGCATGCTCGGGATAGATTGAAACATGCCTACATTAGATTAATTTGCAAAAAGTAGTTGCTCTTAGACTTAAAATCCTTGTTCTCAACTTTGAACTTAAGCATTTCACAATTTCACCAAGCCATAGAATAGAAAACACTGGGAAGAACCAATAGGTGAACCTAAAACCCATCCCATGTTTTCTTTCTTATTAAGATTTAAAGGATTCGTGTTGTGGAATATTTATGAGACAGGAATACGCCAGGACTGTAATTTTTCCAAACAAGAACTTATGACGGGGCTTAATGAAGTAGAACCAAGGGTTGTGTTGCTTGCTCAGTGCTTCCTTTCTTCCAACCTTATTAATGCTAGTAGGTAGGGTGGTGGGTTAATTGGCCTCGGGTTGTTGATGTAGTTCTTTAAAGAGAGAGCAAAAGAGAGAGAGAGAGAGATGCTGGTTTCCCCTCTTTAAGTGTGAGATGGTAAGTTCAAACAGAACATTTTCCTTCGTGTTTAGCCAAACAAGACCAAAATGAAACTTCCATTCCTCTGAATACCTTCGTCATCCCTCCTACCTTCTCTTTATTCGAATTTAAATATCCTTTAACCAAATGGGAGCTCAAATGCCCAACCTAGTTTTGGCCCTGTGTGTCTTGTCTACTAGTTGATACACATCTTGGTTGGTCCAAATATTTAAGTTCATTATTCGCCCATTCTTCTTTGGGCGACCAGTTGGAGATGAGATATATGGTGTCTTCGACAACTTCCAGCTTCTTTGGAAAAGTTCCCATTGGGTCATCATCTTTCGTCAAATAATGTCAGAACAAATGTTACAGAGGCAGACGATTGATCCGGATCAAGGATGTGGGAGACTAATCAAGGGATCTGTAGGATTCTTTGAGAGCCCAACTGAAGTTTCTGTCAATACGACAACATTCTGAGATTCCTACTTGAGTTATTTGAATTTTACAGCTTTTATTATGACAATTTGTGGAGTTCTTGAAGATTTGAGTTTTTGTAGCAAGAGTCCAAGACTGCTGGATGTTATTAGTTTGTGTGTCTATTAACTCTTTGTAGACCCTTGTTTTTTCAACTTTATGGTTAAGCATACTTAAGATGAGCACGACCAGCATCTCAATGATTCTGTTAATTTGTACTCTCAATTTTTTACGTCAATTTTTTTTTTTTAATCTATCTTTATCAGATTTTGAGTGGCTTTTCCAATTTTGTTGTAAACCTCCATGGTTCTTACATAATGAAAACCTATTTCTAGCCTGTTATCAAAGTGTATTTTTAACTATGGAGTGTCACTACTTTTATTATATTCAATCATTTGGAAGTGGATTGAATTTTATTTTTTGTGTGAAAGCAGATGATCAATAATCGTGCATTATTATGAATGAAATATATGGATTATGTTTTATAAATTTGTACTTATGTTAAAAACTTGGTTGAAGTTATTGATTGTTAATTTATGTGAATATTATGTAATATATGTATTAGGTTTAGAACAACAAATCTATTTTGAGTTCTATACGAACTCAACCCGAATTAAACCCATAAAGTAATCCAAAATTAACCAGAAATCATTAACTCGAATTCAACTCGAGCCCGCCCAAATTAAGCTCAGGCAGTGCTCGAGTTGAGTTCCTCAACCTGAGGTAGGATTAGGGTTAGAGTTAAAAATTATATACTTAGGGTTGGGTTAAGGTTAATTGTCCAATCTGCCCGAGTTGCACCCCTAGTGATGGATGTGGTGGGTTGCGATGACCGTGGTAGTAATGACAGTTGTGGGTGGCAACGGTGATGGTGGTGAATTTTGGGTGATGATGGTGGTAGTAATAGCCATGAGTGACCATGGTGATGGTGGCAGGTGTGGGTAATGGTAAGCGATGGTGATGGTGGTTGTCAGTGGCGGTGGTGGGATGACGACGATGGTGGTGGTGGCGGGGCGACGACAGTGGTGGTGGTAGGTGATAGTGGCTGGCAGCGATGGTGGGCGACGATGGATGTTGGTGGGTGCTGAAAGTGGGCAACATGGTAATGAGATAATGGTAGTAGTAATAATAAATATAAAAATGACATGACAATGGTGATAGGTGGTAGTAATAATAAATACAAGAATAAGATGACAATGGTGATAGGTGGTGGCGGTAAACAGCGGTGGTAGCAATCGGTGGTAGGGGCAGTGAAAGTGATAGTTGGGTAGTGGCGATGGGGATAAGGGTGGGGGTAACAGTTGCAGTGGGGTGGCAGCAATGGTGGGTGGTAACGGTGATGGTGGTAGTGGTTATGGTCGTGGGGGTTGGGATAGTGGGGATGGGGTTAGTAGGATAATGGCGACGGTGGTAAGGTAACAGCATCGAAGGTGGTGGTGGAGCGGTGGGGGGAAGGGCGGTAGCGATGATGGTTGTAGTGTAGCAGAAACGGTGATGGTAGGGGGTGATGGCGGAGCGGTGAGGGTGGTGAGATGACAACAACGGTGGTAGTGGTAATGGTGAGGTGGCAGTGGCGGTGATGATGACTATTGTTGTGGTAGATGTGGTTGTGGGGTGCTGACAATGATGGTGGTAGTGGTAATAGTGATGGTGGTGGGATGGTAATGGTGGTGGGGCAATTCTAAACAATACTTTTTTTTTTTTAAGTATTTATGAAACGTTATAAGTTTTAAAAGTACTTTTTAAAAAATTATCTCAAACACACTTTAGATACATATTTTCTTTATTAAATTTAGAGTGTTAATATTAGCCGTCGGATTAATTTTGAAGGAAAATTTAAAGACATTTCAATAGCAAAAAATAAAAATTATTTTATTTATCTTTTAAAATTTAAATTATATTTTATTTTATTATATGGATATATAAAAAAAACACTTTCATGACCAGGTGTATTTGTCAAGTCAGCATTAAAATTACGAAGAAAAAATGCTGCTCATAATTCAACGATCAATTACCTAAAACATTGAGCTAATAAAAAGTCCAATTACTATACTCAAATTCCTCTTATTTTTATATTACTTTTCATAATATACGTTATCTCTTTCTTTTTTTTTTTGGTTTGAGCAGAAACATACTTTATCAATTCAAGGGTCTCAAGTCCAAATACACGCATCTCATTTTTAACTCCGTTAATCATTGGAATCAGCAAAGAAATCAGACAGAAATGGCCGAAACTGCTTTCGATAATCTATTGTGGAGTTTGGGCCTTCTAATTGTTCGGTATAAAGCTTTTTTTCAGCACCAGGAGGTTTGTATCCAAGATCTTTACAAGGATCTAAAACTCCTGAGGACCTTCGTCATCAAAATGGTTGAGAAAAACTACCATCAGAATGCAGGGAAAATTCTGGCCACAAAAATCGATGATGCGAACGAGAAAGTAGCCAATGTCCTCAAATCATTTTTGCACGAGGAGGATGACACTGAAGAAAAGCTCAAAAGTTTCATACAAGATCTTACGGCTATCTCAACAGGGGTGCAGGAAATTTGTCTCAAATTGCCTGATATCAAATGTCCCCCAAGAGCTGATACGATAGTAGTTGAGGATGAAACTGTGGTGACGTTGCAATTTGGAAGTTCATCGACATCAGATCCCGACGAAGAAACGGTGGTGGGATTTGATGAAATGACGGTGAAGATTGTGAATGACCTTATTCGAGGAAGAGAAGAACCAAAGGCGTGGATGAGGAAGTGGAACATGGGGCGACGAAAGCACGTCTCAGCTAGTGCAATTGTCGGTATGCAAGGAAGGGGTAAGACAACTCTAGCCAGAAAAGTGTACAATGATCCTTGCATTGCATCTCATTTCAATGTTCGAGCATGGATCGATGTTCCTAAAGCGGATCGCCAGAGGGATTTTAGCATTTCATGTTCTGCTCTCCTGATTACTGAACAAATTAGTAGAATAAGTCATGAAGAACTGCCTGGAGTGCTTCACAAATTCTTGAAGGGCCAGAGATATTTTGTTGTCATCGATGTCCCCCGTATATGGGATAGCGGTTTCTGGGACTATTTGATAAGATCTTTCCGAGATGCCAAAAAGGGAAGTCAGATTATGCTTACTGCTCGGTATGAGAGTTGGGATCATAATATTAATATACCCCTTTTTAATACGCCCGTTCATTGTCCGCCTCTTTTAGGTGTAGATGAAAGTTGGGCTTTGTTGCAAAAGAAGGTGTTTGGGAAAGAAAGCTGCCCTCAAGAGTTATGGGATAGCGGAAAGCAAATAGCAGCAAAATGTCATGGACTGCCACTCACAATAGTAGTCATTGCAGGACTTCTTGCCAAGGAAGAGAAGACCCAACATTTTTGGGATCAAGTTGCCGAAAGTATAAGTTCATATGTGGCTGTGATACTTGTTTTTTCCTTCGAGTTTGATGATTCTCTGGTACGTGCTTACTCCGAAGATATTGAGAAGTCTCTAGACCTTCGTTACATCAGTGAAGATATTGAAGCGACTATAAAGAAAGAGATCAGTAAGCATAAAGACAAGAAAATGTACATCAGAGTACCACAAGTTGACATGATTCCCTATGGAAGTTCGTTAACAGAAAGTACTTCAAATGTGGTGGAAATCCTGACCAGTGGGAGTTTGTCAACACACAGAGGGCAAACGAGCAGGAGGAGACTTTCAGCAACTTGTATTTCACAATTAGATAATGAAATTGTGGTTGGCTTTGAGGAGGAAGCAGAGAACGTTAAAGAGCAACTTGTAGGACGGAACAAGCTACATGTTGTCTCGATTGTGGGAATGCCTGGACTCGGTAAGACAACGCTAGCCAGAAAAGTGTACAATGATCCTTACATTGAATATTACTTCTATATTCGGGGTTGGGCCTATGTGTCCCAAGAATATTCAAGGAGGAATTTGTTACTTGACATTTTAGATTCTGCTTTTCAGCTTGGAGATGAAATTTGTGAAATGTGTGATGAAAAATTAGGTGAAGAGCTATACAAACGCTTAAAGGGTAAGAGGTACCTGATCGTGTTGGACGACATATGGAATATTGGAGTTTGGCATGATTTGGAAATTTTTTTTCCAGACGACAATAATGGAAGTCGAATTATCTACACTAGTCGGATCACAAATATTACTTTGCATGCTAAATCTAATAGCTCTCATTGTTTGAGTTTGTTTACTGAAGACAAAAGTTGGGAACTCTTGCAACAGAAGATATATCAGAGAGTGTATTGCCCTCCAGAACTGGTGGAAATTGGTAAGCGGATTGCAGCCAATTGTGGGGGACTACCTCTTAAGATAGTTGTAATTGCCGGACTTCTCGCAAAGACAGAGCAAACGCTTGACTGTTGGACCAGAGTTGCTGACAAAGTAAATTCGTACACAGTTGGAGGTCCAAATAAGTGCATGGACGCACTAACACTAAGTTACAACCACTTGCCTCATCACTTGAAAGCGTGCTTTCTCTATTTTGGAGCATTCCCAGTTAACTATGATATCCCAGTGTGGAAGTTGTCATGGTTATGGATAGCTGAGGGATTTATTCCGCAAGTTGGGCAAAAGAGCTTGGAAGATGTGGCACACAATTACTTGATGGAGCTAATTGATAGAAGTCTAGTATTAGTCGCCAAAAAGAGGTCTGATGGTGAAGTTAGAGCATGCCGTCTCCATGATCTGTTGCGCGAATTATGCTTGGTAAAAGCTGATGAAGAAAATTTTCTGCTGCAGATTAATAATCAGAAACAAGTTGAATATTTTTTTGGTCTGGCAAAGAGACATCATCGCCTGTGCATCCATTCTCATGTCTTTCATTGTGTTCCTTTAGAGCTTCCTACCGCACACATCTGTTCTATCTTATGCTTTGGTCCTGAATCTGACACACTATCTCGGAAGCATGTATCACACATTTATCAGACCTTAAGTCATCTGAGGGTCCTACATTTTTCATCCATTCCTATCATCTGCTTTTTTGAGGAAATATTACAACTTGGTTGTTTGAAGTATTTAGCGCTTCAGCTTAGAGACGGGAATCTTCCGGCATCAATATCAAACCTCA